AAAGAACTTATCAGTAATTCTCCTGTCCTTCAATATCCCGATTTCGCAAAACCTTTCAAACTGACCACAGACGCCTCAAATATTGCCATAGGCAGCGTCTTATCCCAAAATGATCACCCAATTGCTTTCTATTCCCGCACCCTCAATTCCGCAGAAAGAAATTATTCCACTATAGAAAGGGAACTTCTTTCTATAGTCGACTCGACAAAACATTTTCGCTGCTACCTTTATGGTGTCAAGTTTGTCATAGAAACTGACCACAATCCTCTTGTGTGGCTTGCCAAAGTCAAAGAACCCAATTCTCGCCTAATTCGCTGGAAGTTGAAGTTGGAGGAATTTAACTTCGAAATTAAGTATAAAAAGGGCAAAGAAAACGTCGTTGCCGACGCTCTTTCACGCATAGAGATCAACGTCAACCAAACCAATGACATAAACGATATGCAATCTAATGCCCCCAATGTCGATGACACGGTCGCCAATCTTACTGACTTCGACCTTGCCGATTTTGTTTTGAACGAACGATACAATGACGTTACTAACAACGAGAAACCACAACTTCAAATTTCCCAAGAAGAAGTGCCACCTTCAATAAATCCCGACGAGAACGATAATAACTCTGACGTCACTGTCCACTCCAATAATCATACACAAGGCAAACGGTTGCCGATATCAGAATTGCCCCTAAATCATGCCACAAATCGTCTTGTTATTGATTATGGCGAGGAATTCAAGCACACCCTTACCAAGCCTTTTCACAAAAATCACCATTTCATTCGAATCTCAAAAGAAAATAGACAAGAGCACATACTAAAAATACTAAAGGAAATTATAAGACCAGATCACTCCTTTAATATTTATATCCCAAATCCGGAATTAAAAATCGAATTTGAAAGAATAGTCTTTGCAAATCTAAACACTTCTGCGAGACTTGTTTTTTCTAATATTTATTTAATGGACGTAACAAATATTGAACAACAAAAAGAGATAATAACAAACTATCATCAAAATAACCATAATGGCATTACAGAAACGTATAATAACATCAAACAAAAATACTACTGGCCAAAATTGAGAGATTTCATAACATACCTTATAAACAATTGTGAGATTTGCTTACAAAACAAGTACGAAAGACATCCTTACAAAATCGCTTACGAAGGCCCTTTACTTTCCGAAAAACCTTTTAAAACTATACACTTGGATCTTTTTCAATTCTCAAATTGCCAGTTCTTAACAATAATTGATTCATTTTCAAAATATGCTCAAGCCTATTTTGTTCCTGATAAGAATGCCATTACCATTCTAAGTAAATTAAGGCATTACTTTTCCCACCACAACACTCCCCAAAAACTTGTGTCTGATCAAGGAAAAGAGTTTCAGAATAACCTTTTCAAAGAATTTTGTCAACTGTTTGGCATTGAAGTTCATTATACAACTCCCGGCAACTCTTCGTCAAATAGTCCGATAGAAAGATTACATTCAACCTTGCTTGAAAAATTAAGGATTCTTAAGATGCAAAATCCTGACGAAACGCCCCAAAATCTTATGATTTCCGCCATTCTAATTTATAATCAGAGCATACATTCAACAACTGGACACTCTCCATTTTCTGTATTATACGGCCCCTATCTCAATGAGCCCAACCTAAACAACGACTTGACTATCTTTGAGCAATATAACGAAAAACGAAAAAAGGAATTGTTACCTTTTTACGAACATGTTTATAAAACAGCCTACCAAAAACAGTCCGAAAGAACACAAAAACAAAATAAAAACACCGAAGACCCTCCTATTTTAAGAACAGATCAAATTGTCTATAAGAAAAATCCTCTGAGTAGAAATAAAATAAATCCCCAGTATATACCAACAAGGGTTACGACAACAAATAAAAATAAAGTGGTAAGCATTTCTAAGAAAAAACCAACTACTACTCATATCAGGAAAATTAAGAGACTAAGAAAGAATCTTGTTCCTTTTCAGCCTCCCGATCCTGATCCTGACCCTGCAAGCTCAAGTGAACCCTTGCCAGGCCCTTCAGGTTTATAATCTTCCCAATAATATCTACTATATTGAGGAAGTATCACCCTCCTTAATTATCGATCATTTCCATACAACATATATACCTTTTAATATTTCTAGCATTAAGTATACTTTATCCAACTTATTTAGCAATATTGTTATTTTAGGCTCTATGGTGAACAGGCAAAATAATAATTTCACAAAAAACCAATTTTTCCATGTATCTAAAGCATTGAATAACACTTACGATACATACTCAAAATTGAATGTTTATGAAATCAACAATAATCGTAAAAAACGCGGGTTATTGAACTTCCTTGGCAGCGGCATCAAATTCGTCACAGGAAACTTAGACAATGATGACTTAGACACTATTACACAGAATTTAGAAATACTTCAGCACAATCAAATAAACTCAATGCATAAGATCAATGACCTTAGTTCATTTGCTGGTAATATTATGAATAAATTTGAGGAAAACATAAAAATAATAAATAAAAACTCTCAGGCAATTCGCTCTGAATTTTCGAAACTTAGTAACGAAGTAAATCTAATTTTATCACTACAAGATTTATACATACAAATTACCAACCTAAATCAATTTTTAGAAAAACTCTTACGAATTTTTTCTTTTGCACATCTGCAGACTTTAGATCTAGAAATTCTGAGCCTGAACGAAATAAACGAAATTTGGCAATACTTGAATATTCATTATCCTAAAAACGCCCTATGGTCTATAAAACATGTTTCAGAATTAACTTTAATTTGCAAAACTGGTCTCTTGATCTTAGATGAAATGGCAATTCTTGCAATAAGGATACCAATTTTTGAGAAAAAATTATGTAACTTAAATATTGTATACCCTATACCGAATAACGAATCCAAAATATTGATTAGTCCTAGTAAATTCTATTGCAACGACCTATGGTATAAAAACTGTGAAGAAATCAACTCCAGATGGATATGCTCCAACCCACTTGTCAGCGACTGCTCATTGCCCAAAAATTGTCAATATGCCACCGTACAAAATAATTATCAAGTCCACACCCTTACTCACAAAAAATCTCTACTGTTCTGTACAAAAACATCAGAAACAGTTTTCGAAGACTGCTTCCAGTTCCAAAAAGCAAATCTTCAGGATTGTTCCATCATTCAAAGTCAGTGTGATGTCATAATCAGCCAACAAAAGTACTCATTGGCCATCAACAACATTTCCATTGATTATCCAACAGCGACAGATCTCCAGTCAAGTAATTTTTCCATCAACTTACAAATCAGACACTTGGAGGATCCAACCAAAATTCAAGAAGACCTTCTGGAGCCAATTGACTTTGAAAACCTTGCCCCAAAACAAAGTCACTACTTCATTTTAACGACAATCTGTATCCTGCTTGTATGCGGTTTAAGCATCCTAATATATCAGTGGAGAAAACACCAATATTTGAAAACCATCCCTATAAAAACTCTGGAGAAGATAATCAACGAGGACGTTGAAAATTCTAAGGGTGGAGAAGAAATATCCGTGAACTAGGCTATATTTAATGTTATTATTAATAATGCTGAATGTACATTTTGTTTTCATAAAAAGAATTGATTGTGTTTAATATGTAACATTGATTTCGTGTCAAAGCTCGCTGCTGTTCGTAATTGATTGTTCACCTTAGTTAAGAAACGTATTGTAAACTAGTTAAGGCCTTTATTTCGAAAAATAAAACTTTTTTAAAAGTCACTCCGTTGGTCGTGGAACTTAATTCTCGAAACTAGAAAATTTATATTCCATAATGAGTTAATAATTATATAGGTTACCTGAATTAGAGAATACTTAAAATTAGGTATATAGATTTTCATTGTAATTTTAACCCAAAATAATTTATTGTAATCGCATTCATGCATATACTCACATACTGAAAAAATGAATTCATGCTTTTATTAAATTTGATTAATCATGAGAAGGTATAAAGTGGGTGAAAACCCGCTCATCTATTGCCTGTCAGACCCCTCGAAGGTTTAGCGCCCGGTTTTATTGCTATATTTCTTCGGTGGCCCGACTATAGAAGAGCCAATAGAATAGTCTCTAAGAATTCCAGTCTGGCAATAGATTGTGTTTTCAATAGGGCTACTTTGTATTTAGCGTAAACAAGCATAGTTCTATGGAGATTTCTTAATTTTCCTAGAATATTTTATTTATTATTAAGACTGACTAGCTTCAGATAGTTCAATTACTAACTTACTAGCTTACTTAGTTTTACATGTTTCACCACTAAGTATTATTTATTATTAGATTCTGTAATTATGGCCGACTCTCATGAAGCCGAAACGATCCTTGCAGCCCAAGAAGGTATTGATAATTTATCACTCTTGAAAAGAGATTTTGCTGCTGAAAGCAAAAAGCCAAAGCTCATTTCAGATAAGCATCTGCAAGTTTTAAATTTTGAATATGTATCATCTCAGTAGGATTGATTGGAACAAAGACTAGGGATAACAATCGCTTCAAATGAGAAAATTGGTTTTGATTTTCCATGAGGTTTTATAGCGTACATACTCACCCACTATTTGTAGAAGTTGTCATTCCATTTAAGCCTCAAGTGGAATAGAGAAACGTAGAGATAGTCCAAGTTATCTGACACAACCCTTCGAAACGAAATTTGCGATTGAACCGGTATCGAGCAGAATACGTATTTTTTGGAAGTGTCCTCGAATATCTTTGACATCAACCTCACAGGTAGATAAGACAACAGTTTCCTGAGAAGTTGTAAAACCACTGGTAATACAATTCACATTTGTAATTGGACTACTAGATCGATTATTAGCAGAAGAACTAGCAAAATCGTTATCGTTGATTTGGTGTCATCTATCCTATTCGACTATTCGACAGTCAACAAAGAAATATTTCATCTGTAATTAGTCTGGCCAATAATAGTTTTAAGGCATAGGTTATGTATTTTCCCGGAAGAAATTAAACAAATACATTTTATTATTGTTGATAAGACTTTATTAAAATATGTGTATGATTTAAAACATGTGTCAAGTGCGTAGCTAGGACCAATTCTGCCTAGAGAAATATTCTATAGTTTATTAAATATATAAATAATATTGCTATGTGTAGGTACTCAATAAATAATATCACTTTACAAAAAAAAATCACAATGTTTGGTTACTTCAAGATCTTCACCGAAAATTAAAAAAATCCTCATCAACTGGCTTCTCGCTCTTTCTCACACAGGCATCCTTAAAATTCGTTACATTCAACGAACTAAAATAATCGTCATGCAAAAACCGCACAATGTCCTCAATTTTACACAAAGAATGTTTTTTGTCGACATTCCGACAAAATCCAATTTGTCGCGTGACGTCATTTCCATTGGACAACAAGCGAAAATAGATGCCTTTCTCGTCTGCGTTGTTATGATTGTTCTGCTGATAAACCTCAAATACTAACCTGGAAGCGTATCGGAGAAGTAGTGGGTCGTTGACAAGGCCTAAAGCGGTTGTTAGTTGAAGTAGAGTGAAATCGTGGCCAGAGTAGAGGACTAGGCTTGGGCCATTAGATCCTACCTAAAGTTCAAAGAAAAAAATACCTATGTATTTATATACCTAAGTTATATCAATAAAATCTATATCTAAGTATGACTATTGCTATTTTCAACATTCAGTCGTTATTCTATTTCTAAGCTCTTCTGGAGGGCGAGTTTCATAGCAACTGTTCTTTTTATTTTACCCAACAAAAAGAATAGTTGATATTAAAATAAAATTAGCAGAAGAATTCTGATACAGATATACAAAACGGCTACAGGGAAGCTTTCCAACCGATGAAAGCCATTTCTAGAATCAAATGCAAAATAATGCACGGTGATGCTAACCCGCAAAAAAGTCCGACCCATGTCGGAATAAAGTCCTCACATAAGAGATAAAAGTTACAAAAATAAATGGAGAACAGGTACATCAAAACCACTCAAAACCACCTAACAAGGAAAACCCAGAAAATAAATGTAATAACCGGAAAACAACTAGTAACCTAATAGAAACAATCTTAGAAGCATTGGAGAATACACCTTCTCACAGAATGAAAATTGAAATACAAGAAATAAGAAATCATAATTTTGAACTCTACAAAAATGTTACCGCCAGGGTGACTGAGAAAACTTAGTATGAAGTAAAGATTTTACCACTAATACACGCATGAAAAAAATAGGAAAGAAAGAATTTCAGGCCAGAACCTCTGATTTTTAAATGTAGTAGACACTCAACCCTCAACTAACGATCAACATCCTACATTTAGGTTACGTTGTAGTGACTGACCTAAATTACTGTAGTAGGTACCTAATTAATTTTATGTTCATCTGAAAAAGGAGGAGACATCGTCAATTCAATGCGACAAATACATAATTCAAAATAAGCCATTTCAAAAAAAAAAAAACTAGTTCTCTCAGTGTTATTGAAGTCTCCTTCTCGTATAGCAACCTCTAGTCTGTGGTAAATAGGATTAATCAATGGATTTTATTCAGAAAGAGTAATCCTAGATGCATTTTTAATACACAATCATGATTAAATCATGCAGTTTCTCATAAATTAGTGCTTTCAACAGGCTTCGAAATTTGTATGCAATTTAAGAATATTGATGGACTTTTGCGAAGACGGGCTTCAACATGAAGTTTGCATAAATTTTGAGCTTTGTTGTCAAAAAACTTACCATATGGAGCATCTGTTGCACAATATGCCTAATTTGCCCATAAGATCTCAGCAAACACAACCTTCGCCAATGGATATTTCTCCATTTCTGATAATTCACCCAGTCAGTGTAGGCGATGATTCCTGCCACATTTTGCTTCCTAAAAACATGCTTATTTTTATAATGTTTTTAATTAGACAAAATTATTTTATATACCTTATACAGTTTGAAGGGCCATCACATGGTAAACCAGTTCTGTGACAGGCAAAAGCCAATAAGGCGTCTCGTATCACATATGGGTCTTTGATCAACGATCTTTGTTCTGCATCGCTTGAAAATAGTAATTTTCCGGTGGTTTGTGAAAGCGTTTGTATTGCTGGGTGGGACTTGAGTTGGTGAGATTCGCTTTTCTGCACAAGCCTGTGATAAGAAACAATTTTTAATTTTTAAATAAAATCGGATAACAGAATTGGTTGAAGTAGTTGAATGCCACTGTCAAGAAGACACTATTAGTTTTTTTTTCTCACTGAACAAAAAAAAATCTTTTGGAGAAAGTGCCATTTCAGTTCCTCTTTTATATGCCAATGATTTGAACTTTTACAGTTCTTGACACTCGACCAACTTTGTAATGATGAGCCTTTCTTAATGCAAGTCCATCAGTTTTTACAAATGAAGAGATCCTCTAGAGCAGTGTTTTTCAATGTTTTTGATACGCGACCTCTTTACAGGTTGAAAAATTCTGGCGAACCTTTAGGCCATACACAGAACGTTAGTAACTTAAAAGACTACGTTTATGATTCTCTTTATTTTGGTACCTATATTTATTATTAAGACCTATACTTAGCAAGAAGCCGTGTATCATGTATGGACACCGTTGCCTGGCAGGTTTCATTTTTAAACGGCTGTTCGGGTTCGTGCGCATTATTTTTTACATCGGTTGATTCACCAATCACCGATAAGCAGTCTATCTTTCTCTAATTCAAAAAAAAAATCGAAATGACTCTCATAATATGGATACTTAGATGGAAAAAAGAAAGCGCTTCTGCTACTGCTTGTGCTTGGCTTGACAATTGATATCTAGCATTTTTCCAACCATGTAGTCTCAGGCCAGGTGTGGGATTCTGTAACGGATAGAGATCGTATGCCGTGTGGCACCCTTTATCTTCTTCTTTTCTTCGCCAGAGATAGAGAAAATATCTATTCGTTACAAAGTCCCAGCCCAGGTCCCAGTCCAACTTATTGAACGTTGAAGTTAACAGATGTTCAGTTCATAAATAATTGTTTTTGTTGGTTATCCGAATGATCGCTATAGACGCTACCTTATTTGCCAATTTCGGGTTGAGATTTTTGAAAGTTCATTCAAGAAGTAGAAAGTGGACTCAAAAAGGAAAGCATCAGTCATTTGAAACTTTTTCACTGCTAAAGATATATAAAACAACAATTACCAACTTACGGCAGCATGTTTTACGGAAACATCCGTTAGTTAGGCTACAAGAATTACAAGAGCCCAGGGCTATGGATATAGAACCAACCGAAGGAGCGAAGAAATCCAGTCACAAAGTGAGAACACCAACGTACCTTCCTCTTCTGTTCTAGCAGGAAAAAATGACAACCAAAATACCAATCTAGCTTCCACTTCTGCGTCACTTAGCTGCTGCGATTCCAATACACCAACTCTAGTTCCAGGAAAATTCCAGAAAAAAACAATTCAACAACAAATATATCTAAATAGAATTATGAATCCAGCACAGAAAAAAAATGTTGACGAAAATTTATTAGGGCTCATTACTAAAGATATTCAGCCATTTTCTGTGGTTGAAGACACAGGATTTAGAGATTTCTGCTATGCACTAAATCCATCATATGTTTTGCCTAGCAGAAAAATGCCGTCCATAAGGCTATTACCAGCAAAGTACTTAGAAGCCTTAAACAAAACTAAGGGTGTGGTATCAAAAGTGAAATCTGTCACAATTACTATGGAGTTCCAGAAACAATGACAGTTATATGAGCGCTACTGGTCACTTTATTAACGCAAATCAGTATTGTTGATATTTTTTTATTTGAAGGCTCCCATACTAGTGTCAACTTCTTCGAATTGTTAACAGTCGCACCTGGAACAGGGGGGTCAGGCAATGACCCCAGTTTACTTTCCTTAGCATTACTTACTCATTTTTACTTTCTTTTCAAAATTCGTTTCGGACTTTCATTTCACGTGTTTTTTCAACCCGTAGACATAAAATTTGTTGAGATTGGTAAAATCTTCGACCTTCGCCAGACGTTTTTATTACGTGTACAGTCATCTGCGAGATACAAGAAGATGGCCGATGGCGGTTTTTTCAATTTTATTGATATAGTTGCCTATAATTCCTACATTCTTTTTATAGAAGCCAATGAGAATTGGGCAAGAGATAATCCAAAACAAAAATCTAGGAAAAAAGTTCTACTATAAAATGCTTAGGCAAGCTGTTGTGTCAAATTGATATGGGTAATCGCTCAAGCTATAGAGGACTTCAAAATAAATATATAGCTAATTTGAAAATTAGTTTTGAATAAGATACTGAATTTTTCCACTTTTTTTTTACAAATCACGTACCCGGTGAGTCGCTAATCCCCCTGCTCCGAATTCAAGAAAACCTGGGGTCAGTAGCTAACCCCCCTGTTCCATGTTTTCCGGGTACCCAGTTAGGGTCCCAGTGCGACTGTTGAAGAATGGGATTTGGAAAAAAAAAAAATTATTAATAGCTATATCTGATAATGCTGCCAATATTAAGAAAAGTTTTTTAGAAGATTTAAAATGGGAACATTTCGGATGCTTAGCCCACACCATCAATGTGATCGAAGGAAGAAGTAAGGGAAGAAGAAGTTGCAAAAAAGTCAATCTTCAACTGTCAATATTTCCAAAACAGTTGAACTTAGGTAAGGGGTATATCACATAAAATCTGCTCAAAATATCACTTAGAATCTAAATATGCAATCACATACGGGTGTCTGATTTAAGAAAAACGACTTTTATCTCGTCACGCCTAATTGAGCCACCCTGTATACTCCAAAATATTTTTCTAAAATAGAGTCTCACGACCTGTATAGGTTGCCATATGAATGAAATTCCTAACCTTATTAGTTTAGGACTAAGTGCGCGTTCACATTGACACCGCTTGAGCGGTGAGCGTTGCGCGATGCCGCTGTAGTGATGTCCAAAAATAATTCTAACATTATATTTCAAATGAACATGTTCACACTGGAGCGGCGCGTCCCGCGGTGTTAACATGTTAATTTGAAATATAATCTTAAAATTATTTTTAGGCATCGCTACAGCGGCATTGCGCAACGCTCACTGCTCGAGCGGTGTCAATGTGAACTCGCACTTATAGACCGACGCGCGCTTAGCTGCGGATGCTGTGTGTATACAATATTGAAAATTGAATTGATTGCTGACTGGTTAAGTTCCAGCGAATTAAAGTCTGACTGTTATTTTCGATTATAGTATTGAATTAAATAATAACACACCAAATTTGAACCATCATGAAACAGTTTCAGTAACCTCTATTATACGACCGAATAAAATAAACAATGGATTGAAAGATTTTCAGCTGTCATGAAACTCTTCCATCGCGATTGATTTTCAACACATTCGAGGGTGCGTGGGCGTAGCTTGTCGTGCTACCTCACTTGCTGACTCGAGTATAGTTATTGTTAATTAAGTAGACGGACGGTTATCAAAAGTAAATTTTATTGAATCAAAAATATAGAATCTATTGTGTTCCGCTAACACAGATCGCGTGTTGATGCCGCTTCAGAGAAATATACAAGTGACTCGCGTAGACTGCCGACCACTTCCACGTCGTCGATCGTCATCGTGCGCCAAGAGAGGAGCGCAGAAGAGCATTGCGTAACATCATACACATCACAAATACAAGCCTATATTAAATTTTCAGCTTTCATGAAACTTTTGCATTTTTTTGGTGCTGGCTCTCGGACCATATATGTGAAGAGAAGTTAAATGAAGCCACCTTCGAAGAAATTGCAGTGCAGCGAGAAGATACATGCAATACCAACAAAGAAGAGGTCTGATTTCAACATAGACACCAATTTGGGACCCGTAGCAACAGCTGCGCACCAAATCCAGGGTCGACGGTTCGATTCCACGAATCGCACAATGATCAACCACGCCAAGGTCAACAGCTGGGCCGCACTCGCACCCAGGCGAACAATTCCAATTTCTTGAAAGAGCGCAGGTCCTTGAGCCGCGATAATGGGGGCGGCGCTGGTAGTCTTCTGCATCGTCGATGGTCGAAAAAAGTGGCGGAAGCAGCAATGGTGGTAAACAAAACCGAGCTTGTGTTTGTGGAGGTTTTCATGATGGTTTGTGCACATTTAGGCATTCTACTTGCTTAACATATAAAAGAAAAGGACACATTTCGAGGGTCCGTAGTAACAATAATTTTGTGGACAATAATGGGTATGTAAACAAAGACTTTTCTGATTCTTGTTTTTCCTCGGACGATATTTCAAGTAGTGTTTTGAATAGTAACCCAGTGAATTTTTTTCAAGTTTCTAGTGATTAAGACAAAGAAAGTCAATTTCATTTAAATGTAAATATTGAAAATTCCAATTTTAACATTTTGTTTGATTCTGGAAGCTCAGTCAGCTGTTTGAATTTTGAAAATTTTCAATCAATATTTTGCAGATAAATTTGGGTCAAGGCAGGACGATATTGTGTTAAAAAGTTATAATGGTAGCTTGTTTGCACCAAAGGGGTATTTTAAAGCCAGGGTTAATTTTAAAAATATGTGAAAATACATTAAATTTCATGTGATTGCCAATCAAAGACCCTGTATTCTGGGTAGAGATTTTGTTCAGAGTTTTAATTTGAAATTTCAGATGATTAATAGTGTGGGAGTGATGTGAGCATCAAGGATGAACTTAGCAAAGAAATTAAAAAAATACAGCGATGTTTTTTCTGACAGATTAGCTCATTATTTCAATAAAATCAGTATCTAACAAACCATTGTTGTGCTCACTACAAACTCAATTACCCCTTGCGGTATCACTTCATGTCTGAATAGAGTTATCAGCGCTCAACAGACGTGCACCTAGGCCGAAAAATATGACAGAAATAAGATCCTTGTTAGGTTGTGTGACTTTTTATGCCATGATTGGAGCAAAGATTGTGAGAATGCATTTAAATAAATAAAAGAAATAATCGCTTCAGTTATTGTTTTGACACATTTCGACCCCGACTCACCTATTATTTCAACCACAGATGCCAGCGATCAGGGAATTGCTGCGCTCCTAGAACACCGAATGCCAGATGATCGGGAGCGTCTAGTAAGTTTTGTATCTAGAACGCTTCTGCCAGCTGAGAAAAGGTTTTCCACTATACACAAAGCATCTACTGGGCTGTCACCAGATTGCACAAC